ATATGGGGTTCATGGATTTCCCTTTTCTTTTCTTTTCAAGTGGAAGATCAAAAGTAAAAATCTCCCACTTTTGCTTTTCAGCCCTATACAAAAATCTCCCATTGAGAGATAGAGAGAAAGATGGAACTTGGTCCCAGTCATGTAAGGTAAGCAAGGAGAAGGGAATAAAGTTGATTCAAGAAAAAGAGAGAGAGAGAGAGAGAGAGAGGAAAAGCTTCATCTAGCTCCTCTCCTCCATGCAACCTATCCACACAACATAATTATTTATTAATCATTCAAAACATAGTAATGATATACTAATAATCATCATCTTTTTTACTTCTTATTATATTCCCCTGATTCGATGGCACATGTTCTCAACTGAAAATGAAAACAGTGCAAGTAACATTCTGTTACTGTATTCTACACTTTGCCTGAAAATACACAGCCACACAGTGTGGTGCATGCATGCATATCTATAGAAGCATTTTTTTCACTCCAACCTATGGTTGAGCACATGTGTGATATTGACAGGGCGCCATGACAGATTGACAGTCATCGAAAGAAGAATGACGATCTCATGCCAATATATTTATCTATCAAAATAGCTTTTAATGGGTCCTCCATAGCCGTTAATGCATATACTTTTCATGGGATAATTTAAAATTTGTTGGGGGTACTATTGCTAATGGAACTCCTCCGTTCAATTTTAACTTCTTTTTCTTTTTCATATTAATCCCCTCTCTTATTATTTGGTTTGATAATCCGGTATTATTTTGAACCAATTTGCATGTACCAAACTAAATTTCATTTCTCAAGTTAATACCAAATTAAATTTCATTCCTTGAGTCAAACGTTTATAAATACATACCCAGTTGGGAAAGAAATTGATGGTTGTGCTTGTGATTAACAAAAAGAAACAGGATGGTTGAGCCATTTTGAATGATTGGAAGTGAAATTCCACCACCCTCATTCAATTCAAAGCGAAAAAGAACATCACTTTGATTAAAGCTAAAGGGCATTTTTGTCATATGAATAAAGAAATAAAGGTGGATAGCATCAATCTTTACTTTCTTTTCCTTCCCAAATCTTCACTTTAAAATTTCTGTTTCCCAAACAAAAGTTCTAGCAAAATCTCTCCTCTTCTTCTCTTTTTACTCATCTCAGAACTCCAAATCTTCCTTTTATCCCTCTCCTTGTTCGTGTTTGTGATGAAAGAAATGAAAGGAAAAGAAAAGAACAGAAAAGAGAAGAACAGTAAAAAAGAAGAGGCTTACCCTTCCTCCCTCTCTCAAGATGTTTGATTCCTTAAGCCCTAATACACTTGAAGTTTCAAAGCAGATTCCCTTCACTTTCCCTTACTTTCCCGGGAAATGTTTTTTTCATTGGAACACTTAAATCCTCTTGTCTTTGCTTCAAGTCCTTCCAAATTCAATCCATCTGAAAAATATTTTCCTGAGAAAATATGGCTCCTCTGTTTGTTTTGACACTGTTCTCTGTTCTAATAGTTCCCTCTTCCTCTGCTTCTTTGGTTTCTGATTTTCATGCTTTGGTTACTCTCAAAAATGGATTCCAGTTCCGGGAACCAATGCTAAGCACATGGAACGCCTCGAATCCGAGATCAGTTTGTTCTTGGACAGGAGTTCAGTGTTCCAGCGGAAGAGTAGTCTCGTTAGACTTGACAGACATGGGTCTGTACGGCTCTGTTTCGCCAGAAATTTCGAAACTTGATGGGCTCACCAACATCTCTTTGGCTGGAAACAACTTCACCGGTAGCATTGAGATAGAGAACTTGTGTGAACTCCAGTTTCTCAACATTTCAAGCAATATGTTCAGTGGAAAACTGGATTGGAACTACTCATGTGTCTCAAATCTAGAAGTGTTGGATGTTTATGATAACAACTTCAATGGGCTCTTGCCAGAGGGGGTTGCGGAACTGAAGAAGCTCCGGTACTTGGATCTCGGTGGGAATTTTTTTTCCGGCCGAATCCCGCCGAGCTACGGCGGGATACAAAGGTTGGAATATCTTCAGCTGGCAGGAAATGATCTTCGTGGGAAAATTCCTGGTGAGCTGGGGAATCTTACTAATCTCAGAGAGCTTTACCTGGGATACTACAATGCCTTCGAAGGTGGAATGCCACCGGAGTTTGGTAATCTGGTGAATTTAGTCATCATGGATCTTTCCAGCTGTGATTTGGACGGTGAGATTCCACCGGAGCTCGGAAATTTGAAGTCCCTGGATACTCTGTACCTGCATATCAATCGACTCTCCGGTCCTGTTCCAAAGCAGTTAGGCAACATGACGAGCTTGGTGAACCTTGACCTCTCCTACAATGCACTAACAGGAGAAATCCCGCCGGAGTTCATCAACCTGAAGAAGCTAAAGCTCCTCAATCTCTTCATGAACAGGCTGCACGGGTCTATTCCGGACTACGTTTCAGAGTTCCCTGATTTGGAAACACTGTGCCTGTGGATGAACAACTTCACTGGCGTCATACCAGAGAATCTTGGCCGGAATGGGAAGCTTCAGGTGCTTGATTTGTCCTCCAACAAGCTAACCGGAACTATCCCCCTAGACTTGTGTGCTTCAAATCAGTTGAGGATTGTGGTACTGATGAAGAATTTCCTCTTCGGAGCAATACCAGAAGGCCTAGGGACATGCTATAGTCTTACCAGGGTGCGGCTGGGGCAGAATTATTTGAATGGAAGCATTCCCAATGGGTTCATTTACTTACCGGAGCTGAATTTAGCAGAGTTGCAGAACAATTACCTCACTGGAACTTTACCGGAGAATGGTAACAGTTCATCAAAACCTGTTAATTTAAACCAACTGAATCTATCCAACAATCTCCTTTCCGGTAACTTGCCAAATTCAATTTCAAACCTTTCTTCCATTGAATTTCTTCTCCTTAGCGGGAACCAATTTTCAGGTCCAATCCCACCTTCTATAGGAGAATTACGGCAAGTAGTAAAGCTTGATCTCAGCCGGAATTCATTTGCCGGTGCTATCCCACCGGAAATTGGAAATTGTGTCCATCTTACTTCCCTTGATATCAGCCAGAACAATCTTTCCGGTTCAATCCCACCCGAGGTTTCCAATATCCATATACTTAGTTACTTGAATGTATCACGAAACCACTTGAATCAAACCATACCCAAAACCATCGGTTCCATGAAGAGCCTCACCATTGCCGACTTCTCCTTCAATGATTTCTCCGGAAAGGTACCGGAATCGGGCCAATTCACCGTCTTCAACGCCTCATCCTTTGCAGGGAACCCGCAACTCTGTGGTCCTCTGCTCAATAACCCTTGTAATTTCTCCTCCATCACTAGCACCTCCCGAAAGGCCCGAGGAGACTTCAAACTTATATTTGCATTAGGCCTATTGATATGCTCATTGATATTTGCTGCTGCCGCCATAATCAAGGCCAAGTCATTCAAGAAAATGGGGCCTGATTCCTGGAAGATGACTGCATTTCAAAAGCTCGAATTCACGGTCTCAGATGTCCTCGAATGTGTCAAGGACGGGAATGAAATCGGAAGAGGTGGAGCTGGAATTGTTTACCATGGAAAAATGCCAGACGGAATGGAAATTGCGGTGAAGAAACTCCTCGGCTTTGGCCCCAACAGCTACGACCGTGGATTCCGAGCCGAAATCCAGACACTAGGCAACATCAGGCACAGGAACATAGTGAGATTGTTAGCATTTTGCTCCAACAAGGAGACCAATTTCCTAGTATACGAGTACATGCGGAACGGCAGCCTAGGGGAGGCATTACACGGCAAAAAGGGTACATTTTTGGGTTGGAATTTGAGGTACAAGATTGCAATTGAAGCAGCAAAGGGCTTGTGCTACCTCCACCATGATTGTTCACCGTTGATCGTCCATCGGGACGTGAAATCGAACAACATTTTGTTGGATTCGAGCTTTGAAGCGCACGTCGCCGACTTCGGACTCGCCAAGTTCTTGATCGAAGGCGGCGCATCAGAGTGCATGTCAGCAATTGCAGGATCCTATGGCTACATTGCTCCTGGTATGTACATTTTTTTTTTTTTTTTGCTCATTATTATTTTTATTAGTTCAATATTGTCAATTATTTGGACTGCTAACTTAGAATCGCTCCTATGATTCGGGAATAGAAATTAATTAAGGTTAAAGCGTATCATCAGCCTTAAAACCGAGCACCCTAAACTGGTAGACTGTATTTGGAACATTGGCTTTTATAAGTTAGTCTGTTAGTTAAGTTAGTTAATTATGGGAATTGTCAAACTGTCAAAATTTGTAGTTTTTTTTTTTCCTTTTTTCACATTTAGGAAGTTAATTGTTTGATATTATAAAAAATTAAATTTCTCACATTCCCTCAATTAAGATTTACATGTTAATGAGTATGAACTCAATTAAGTTTTTGTTCATAAAATTTGTAGGATTCATTTATGGGAATTTGTATCTATCTTTTATGGACTACTTGGTTATTGTCATGGGGTTTTTTTTTTTTTTTATCACACACAAATAATGTAATAATTTTGTTTCTTTTAATTAACTTCATTAGTTTATCATTTTTTTATTAAATAATTAGTTATGAAATTTAAAAATATTAATTTATGAATTAATTTTAATTTATTAAATAATAAATATTAATTATTTTATTTATTAATAATTATAACTATCAATTTTTATAAAAAAAATATATTCTATGTCATATTGACCAAAAAAAAAAAAAATTGTCACAATAACCATGCCTATCTTTCACACATGCACACAAAGTTTTGAATCATCTGATGATCACACGGTTAGGAAGTGTCGGACGTACAAATACGTTAATCAGTGACGTCACCTATAATTCCTAGTAGAACAATTTTTTTTTTTTAACTAGTGAAACTAGGAATTAAAATAAAATTTTTAAATATTATTATTAGTTTTTAAAAAATTATAATTATTAAGGATTTATTTAGTGAAAATTTTTGAAATTTTTATTTTTT